GGGGGGGGGGGGGGGGGGGTGGTAGTATGTGATAAAACTTCTGCACGTCCCTCTTAACCCTGCATTAGAAAGGATAAGAGATAGATTTTGGGAGTTACAGAAGTGGAAATAATTTCTAGGCTCATTCACTGCGTGGACCGCCTAATCTGGACGAGTTGTTCAGTTGTAATTACGATGACACAGCGGAGACTCAATTCAGCGAAGCATGGCAACGTACGATTGATGATAATTCCTTGGAAACAGGAAAGAGCGCAACGACTATTCTTCCGGGGCCGACTCGTTACTTCCCATGGCAAATTACATCCAATAAAGATAGACGAGAGGAAAACTTCTTTTCTTCGAGAGCGAAACAGGATTAGGGTAATTTAGTTCGGAAATCGGAAACCGGAAGACTTCGAGGATTTTAAAGACCAGCGGCTCGTTGCAAGAAATGGACTAAGGCCTTCACAAGCCAAAAGTATTCGGTTGACTGCCGACGATCTTTCACAACATCGCTCACTCTCATGTGGAACTTCCTGGTTGTCGTCTAGGGCTAGCGAGCAAATGCAATAAAAATCAACGATGGTTGAAAATGGATTCGCAAGAGCCAGCACGGAGTCATCTACGCACACACGCAAAAGTCACATTTTCATGGGACCAACTACTAGTTACTTTTCAAGAAAGCAGTATTGGAGAACTAGTATCTTCTATGGAAAAGCTTTCTCTGAAATCTGAAGAGGTAATTCAAATGAGATTCCCAGGATGTAATTACATGATAATTTTCGAAAAAAAAAGTCGGAAATTCCCATTTTCACTAAACTACATGTCCTCAATGAGAAGAGGAACGGCTTGAAGCGACAGAATGATTGATAACGTCTGAGAATTGTTGTAACTTGTACTTTGACTTGAAATAAGTCAATAATTACTAGTAATCTGCATATTCATGATAAATGACTCATGTAAAGGTAAGAACCTGAGTTAGAAAGAAGTAAAGAATGGGAATGCAGGCAACATCATTAATGCAGCAAAGCACTTGATTCATGACCCGTCAGATATTGGCTTTATGCCAAGGCTGCTACTGCCAGGATACTACTATTACAGCACTTTTCAATGTACTTCAACTGGAGGAAAAACAAGAAAAGGATATCGACAACAAGAAAATCTCAAAAACAAATTCAAAATCTCAAAATAAATGTTTTTGGTTAGGTACCGTATCTGCTGAAATTAGGTAGCACGCAGTCTCATGTCTGAAATAGAGATTGGTAACCAGTAACATGGTCCCTGGGAAAATTAACTGGTCTTGATTGGATTCTACAGAATACTCCCAATGTTTTCCCCGTTTCTTCCCATTCGTTTCTGTTTGTTATGACAGATCCCAAAAAAGAAAATGAATCATGTAAAAACACTGGAATCTTGTTATTACTGCCAAGAAAAGTTAAGTGAGTAGTAATGGGTACTAGTAATAGTGAAGTAAAGGTCTATAACGAATAGGTACACTTCAACAAATGAGAAAATAATGGGGCATCGCACTAGACTATGGTCTATCCCACGTCCGCTAATGAGCAAAGGATTTTTGGATCGATGAATTACCATTAGTGGTGTGGTTCTGGGGTTGTCGTCATATATTCCCAGAATCTTACACACCTCCTGGTCGATCCCNGGGAGGGATAAAGCCGTTACAGGATGGATGAAATGGCCGTAACCAGCTTAGCTCTGGCTGGAATGTCTTTAGCATAATGAAAGAATTGTGTATGTGTGTGTGTGGTAAGCCGTATGGAGAATGCATGGCTTAAAAAACGACGTCACATTAAAAAGGAAATAAAGCTGGATGTCGAAGAGTATTGCCACATATAAAATACAATAAAATGAAAAATGTAATGTGACTATAAAATAGGAAAGGAAGAGGTTACATCTGGAACTGGGAGGGGGGCCATGTTTATTCTTCACATATGCACCACACTGGTACTTTCAGTGTAGAAGGGTCAATGATGGAAAGCTCACTTAGCATCAATCAAACGAGTCTAAAATGCTTCTTCAGAAGGGCTCAGTCTAATGTGGGCCTATTTATAACAGTGGCCGTCCGCCCGTCCAAAATGCCATAACCCAGAGGCAGATAAGAGATGTGGGGCGGGGCTTGAGGCTCATGAAAGCATGGCAGGGCAGGGACAGAGTGATATCTGATCCAACCAGATCCACTAAGTACATAACAGACTTATGTTTTGAGCGATCAAGGATCAGAAGAAATCGTAGAAACGAATCCTTCATTGAAGAAACAGATCGAAGGAGGAGGAGGGGAGGGGGGTAGGGGGACNAGTTAAGTACTGGTTCTAGAATGGTTCTAGAACCCAATATTTTCAGGTATCATGTTCGTGTGCGAGAGAGGAAAGGCTGTGTTTCGCGATGATTGCTGGTTTTGCTTGGTAAAATACGACGATAATAGACATGAGCCCTGGGGGAAAATTGCAAGGTGTTCATAGCATTTACATGAATGAATGCATTCTATACACAAATCCACTTGCATACATGACAAACATGAACATGAATTGACGGCATTACTTACTAGTAAAGCAAGGTTGAGTTTTCCATCCACTCCATTGAAGGAATAACAAAAACATGGCAATTTTCAATTCTGAAAAGCCAGAATATGTTGCCCGCCCCGCCAGCACAACACTCCATAGCTCCAATTTCTTTCACCTTCACTTACTTTGTTTACCTTTTGGGACAAAGTCAGCCCCCCACCTAATTTGGGAATGGTTGGGCATTATGGGGAAATCGCTAGATTTTGGAAACTCTGGTCACAGGTATGAAGGCCCATTCCTTCACCTGAGTCTACCGAGCGATTGACAGCCAAAGTTTGCCTGGGATGGAGGGATCATTGAGGATAGAAAGTTCCCATGGGAAATCATGAAGTCTTAAACAAATGAGACAGGATTTTTTGATTGAATGATGAAATTTGGAATAGAAAAGCGATATGAGCAGAACTTTCAGCTCTGGTAGGGAGGCAACCCACGTGTTTCCATCTGGGAGATTTGACTTGGGAGATTTGCGGGTAGCTCCAGCCAGCGAGTTCTCTCCCCACACTTGTAACCAGGTTCACAGGCTCCGATTATCCACCCAGATCTTCTTTGAAAACTCTAACCTGGTCAGGAACCGCCAGTTTTACCCATGTAAGTCATGTGGAGTGACCATACCCAACCACCTCTGACCTTCCATAACGCCACAATTTATAACGTGGAAAAGAGAAGCATGGCGTATTTCAGAAGGAGGACAAATATTGAGCACATTGCCCTGGTTCTTATCTGATTTTTGTTCGCTGCCACTAGATTAGTAGGTGGTGCATGCTATCGAATTTCATGGGCAACGAGCGCTAAAACGATTCAGCACCAATGAATGCATAGCAGGGCATATGGAAATTGCTATGAAACAATAAAGTAATTGCTTTTGTTGAAGTATTTTACTGTTTTTTCCAGTTACCTCGGTCAAAGGACTCATGGAGTGATTTCTAAAAGCCATCGTACGAGTTTTCCGGTGCTTCAAGCAAACATATTGACAGCGGATGATTGTTGTGACATGAACAAGACGTGAGTTGGATGGATTGTAATAGAAACTCGTTTCCGGCAAACCTGATGAAATACTTGATGGGAGGGGGTATTTTGCAGGATTCTACGGCTGAAATTTAATGGAAATCGAGCAAATACCTTCTTCTCAGTAAAATGTCACATTTACTGAACCAATAAACTGCAGTAATGTCAGAAGGGAAACGAGTGTTTCCAGAAAAAAAGGCGATCTTGCGTGCAGTATAGAGAACACATGATCAAAAGGATTTTTATGGCTCTAAAGAAAGGAGGGTTGCCAGTCCATTCCAGACTGGACCACCGGGACTAGATAAGTTCCATCTTTAATAGTATTAGCAAAATTTCTGGACAGAATTGATTTAGGACGAGTAAGTACAGATGAAGTTAAGTACGTCTGCTTGGAAACAAAGCAACTGACTTGAGAAGCACTTGAGGAAGAAGAACAACGTTGAAGGACAGACAGGAACACTTCGAAACAGAAGAATTCAAATGACGTTGTAATTTCTGCATGCCCTTTGGGGATAATTTTTCAAAATTGTCATTTCTAGCTCAGAAAAAGAGCTTACAATTAGTACTCAGAAACTCACTAAACGAATTTACGAAAAAGTGGTCCCGAAAGGAAAACCTGTGTTACAAAAGTTTTGCTTGTGTGTTTAGCCAAATCAATAA